GGCTAAGAGAATTGCAGGTGCAAAGGCCCTAAGGTGGGGTAATTACTGTCCTCTACAGAATGACGGCTCTTCCCCCTGGTAGTCCCTAGGAGTGACAGGTCACTTTGCCCAAGGACTTGTACTTCTGAAACTCAGAATCCACGTTCTCCCATCCCCCCAGAGCCCTTGAGCTTTTCAGGGTCAACTGAGCATTGTGGAAAACTCCCAGCAGTGGCTTCCTCCTTCTCAGGGAGTCTGCAGGATTAAATGAAATCTTGAACCTCCCACATGGAGAGCTGATGGGAAGAGAAATGTCACTGCAGCCTTGAGCGTTTTTATTATTTCTCTCTGCTTTAGTGAAGGAGGCCTCCAGTCACGAGCTGCCTGCACTGATTTGCATTGGTGTTAGTTACAAATGGTGGCTTGACATTTATAGCAGCCATGATCCATGAGTTATCGATTATTTAGGAAAAGGAATGAAGTCAGGATGGCCGGGCAGCTGCCTCATTAAAATTTGACTCTTGTCACATTTCATCTTGATGGAAGAGGGGACTTGAATCCAGAAGTGGGGAAGCATTGTCAAGTGTAGATCTTGTCTGTGTTTCAGGAGATAACAAGAAGCTCTTGTTCACCACCTCTGATTAATCGGCCCCTCTTTATTCATGTGAAAAATCCACAGTCACTCAGGAGCTTCTTGGCAGAAATTATGGTTCTTTGCCTCTCCCACTCAGTCACTTCTGCACAGTGTTCATGGGGGAAAGGACAGCAGAGCCAGGGTTAGTGCTGACTGGGTGTCGATGAATTTGCACTCCTGCTGCAAGCTGTATTTCTCTGATCAAGGTAATGATGCACTGGTTTCCTCCCGCCCTTTCCTTGGGAGGTTGCTCCTTCCATGCCAATGACAGTGGGAGCCAAGGGGAGGAGACTGGGTCTCTGCTGCTTTCAAGGAGCACCTGCCATCACAGTCCATGTTTGGAGAGGCTGAGGGGCGATGGCGGACCCCTGCCAAGACACTGACTCCAGAGGGGGAGAAGCCATGTGACCGCAGTCACATGAGCTGAACCACGCTGTGGCCTATGCAACAGTGTGAGAGGCAGACAGGCCCAAACTGGATGGGATCCATTTGGGCTGAATTCTGTGTTATCTCAGATGATTCACTGGTTCTCTATGACATGAAAATTAAAGGAGATGAGTATGTTAGTCTTCTCCAGATACCACTGCTGAGCAGATTTAAGGAAAGGCATCTATTTTCTCATGGCTCTGAATGCTGGAAGTTCAAGTGCAAGGAGTCAGCAGGGCTGGTTTCTAGTTTGCACCCCATTTTTATGACATCATTAATTGGTCCCTCCAAATAAATAATTTAGGACTTTAACCTGGAACCGTGGTGTGGGGGGGTGCACAATTCTTTCACAACAATGGGAAACTTGAAAATCAAAATGAGAGGGAGGTTTTTAACCCCTCTGTCTGCAGCAAGTATCAATGGCTGGGTGGTAGCAGAGGACTTTCTCCATCTCTACAGTAGTCCTACACCCCTTTCCTTCTTGAAAAGGCCATGGTATAGCGAGCTTTTGTCCCCAGTAGCTGTGTCTTCCCTTCTGTGTGCTGAGTCGTAGTAAACTTGATTGGTTGCCCATCGAATCGCCTTTGCTGGCAGAGGTGTCCACTTAGGGTGATGTTGTTACTTTTATGGGTCCTAGGCACTTATACCTTTGGGAGGTGTCTTAACTCTACTAAAAATATTTTAAAGGTATAGTCTCCAACTGACAGTTGAGGTATAAATCCTGCTTGTTGTAAGAAGTGAAATGTGTTTACAGACCCCTCAAAGTATTGCTAGGTCTGGGCTCTGCTATTGCACTCAGTGGATGATTTCCCATCTACAGGGAAGGACGACCTTCCCCCTGCTTCATGGGGACCTCTGGAGAGGGGAAAGCCATCTCTGCTGGGGATATAGCTTAGAAATGGAATGCATTATAGCTAGTGAGATGTGATAGAAAGTTTCTTGTGGGATGTTTAAAAATGGTATCTTTTCCCATCATGAGATGCCCAAGGGGAAATAGCCTTTTCCTTTGGCAGCCATTCTGAGGAGGTGAGGGAATGGTGACTCACCGAAGGTGGCAAAAGGGAAAGTACGGTAGAAGAGCCTGGAGTCTCAGCTGCCACTGTTAAGTCGCAGTTAAAGAGTTATGTGTGAAGAAATGACAGAAATGAAACACACTGTTGTCCTTATCTTTTTCAGCTTCTTGATGCTACTTGCTATTTGCACCCTTTGGCTTGTGGCCCCTCCTTCTGTTTTCAAAGCACATCCTTCCAATCTCTGCTTCCATCAGCAACCACAGAGACTCTGATGCCATCAGGCTCTCTATATGATCCATGCTGATCTTTCATCTCTAGACCTTTTTTTTGTTGTTGTTTTTTGTTTGTTTGTTTTTTGAGACAGAGTCTCACTATGTAGTTGAGACTGACCTGGAACTCACTATGTAGCCCAGGCTGGTCTCGAACTCACAGCAATCCTCCTGTCTCAGCCTCCCAAGTGCTGGGATTACAGGCGTCCGCCACCACACCCGGCTCATCTCTAGATCTTTAATCAAATCAGTTCAATCCCTTTTTCTATGACAGGCAACACATTCTCAGGCTCAAGACAGGAGATCTTTGGGGGTGACAGGCACCATTCAGCCTCCTGCAGGCAGGGAGACCCTCTGATGTATTGATCTGTCTCATAGTAGAAATACATGCTTTTCTGCCCATTTCTGCTCCTGGCATAGAAATGTTTTCCTGTACCTTGATGTGGGGTCAGGGTGGGATGGGAAATGCTTTTCAAAGTGGGGCCCCAGACCAGAGCACCACCTGGGAACCTGTTGGCCATGCAAATACCAGGCCCTGCCCCAGACACCCTGAGTCACAAATTCAGCATTCTGTACTTTTCACGAAAGTCCTATATTGCAATCCCACCTTTCTTTAAAATTCTGATATTGCATCGTCATGAAATTGCCTGCATTCACATGTTGTTTGTCTTGATGCTCAGTTGGTACCTCGTCCAATTTTGCTCTCCTGGCAAGTGCCTTGCTTACCTTGCCATGGAAAACAAAGGTGGCCAAATCAGCTCAAGATCTGAGTCCTCACAGGAGGTATGTGCAGTGTGTGCAGAGACACTCAATTCACTTGGGGCCATCAGAGATTTTGTGAGCATGTGATATCAGACCTGGGAGCTGAGGGTGGATGGAGTTCTCCTGGGGAGGAAGCCATAAGAGCATCTCAGGCAGACAGGGCACCAGGTGCATAGGCCAGATGTGTGGAGAGGGCTTCACAAATAGGACCACTGATTCCCTTAACAAGTATTTGTTAAACTTCTCCAGCAAGCCCTGGCATCTCTTGCCTTTAACAACCCAGAATTTGAACCCCTGCATTGAGTTGGATGAGCTGGAACAAAGGCTGAGTCTCAACTTGCCTCTGCATGAAGGCAGAGCATGCCCCAGGCACCGTCCGCCCAGCAGTGGTATTTGGCGCCCGCAAATAAGGTTGGGAAAGCATAAAGGCTGTGAATCTCATCAGAGCTGCATTTAGCACAGGTTTCCATTTCAGAGCTAATAGCATTGGCTGCTGTGTAGAAGAACACAATTACCCTGTTTTAATAACACGGTTGACAATGCAGCTCAAATTCCGGAGGAGCCTTAGTTTACACTGAGCGGCTTCTGTAGGGTAGTGTGAGATCCTAGTCCTGAGTTGTCTTGTAGCTTTCTTCCCAGCTTTCCCAGTGCATCCATGTAACAACCAATAATGTCACCAACGCCTGCGGGCTTCAATGAGCCAGGGGAGCTCTACAATCAGGCCAAGACTTCCTCGGATCTGATATTAGGCTTTTATTGCACTCAGGAAAAAGCTTAAGTAGAACAGGGGAACAAAAATATTACTAAGACAAAGTAGTAATAAGTTTCATTTAGTAGCTTTGTCCTCAAACGTTCAGCCTTCCAGGAAGAGTGGTTGGAGAATAGAAAACCTGCTTGGTTAAAGCTATCACTGCAATTCAATGTTTAATTACTTAACATATCACAATCGCACAGGCATATTCTGGACAATTTGAAGTAACCGTGAGAGTTTCCTCAGCTGTGTTATGGTGAGTTGTTGAGCTTAGCCTGTATCCACCCAGACCCTCAAAACTGAGTTTCACTGAAGTATAACAACAAGAAAAACAATAGCAAAGGATGCAAGACAGAGAACCCATGTCCAGCAAAAACCCCACTGGAGTTCCCCTTCTCCTTCCTTCAAGGTGACTTCTCTCCTGACCCCTCAGGCAGCAATCCATGAAGCTGAAATGGACAGAGCTGAATGGACTCACTTGTGTGTTTTATGTCTCCCTCAACCTTGAGAATTGTCCATGTGGTACGTCATCTGCTTGCTTTCCTTGCTGTGTATATAACTTTGACGGACTTACTCAGACTTACTCATCCATTGTGTTCTGCAGCTGGTAAGAATTTGGGTTGCTTGTTGTTTGGGACTGTTGCAAACAGCAGAGGCTTCTGGGAATATTCTGGGGCTGCGCCAGTGCACATGTGTTTGGTGCAGATGTGGGAGTAGGACTGGTGGGTCAGAGTGGGGAAGCGCAGGGTCAGACAGTCTCCTGGGGTTCACACCACTCGACACGTCCACCAAAAGTGTGCCAGTGTTCCAGTTGCTCTACACCTTTGCTAGCACTCTATTTTTCAGTCTTAAATGTTGGCTCTTATGGCAGACGTGTTTGAATTTTATTGTAGTTTTAATTTGCTTTCCTCTATAAATTATCTTTTCATACTGGCAGTTTTTTTTTCAGCTTTAATTGAGTTTATTGGTACATTTTAGGGATACAGTACAGTTACATTCATTGTTGGGATCTTGTACCTCTACATGACAGGTCTTGGTTCTCATTTTTTTTCCCCTTGTTCCTGCCCTCCCTTCACCCTCTCCTCCCCTCCCTATCTACAAACACTTTATTTCTCACATTTTTTTTCTTTTCCCTTATTACCCTTCCCCTACCCATCCCACCTTCCTGTACAGGCAGTTTTAAATACCTCTATGTCAGCTTTCAGATAGTATAACAAGATATCTCAGATAATGAACTTACCAGGAGACTACGTTTTATTTGGCTCACAATTTTAGAGTTTCCAGGCCATAATTGTTGATTTTAAGTCTGTAGTTTGGTGGCTGATCATGGCAGGAGACCTTGGTAAGGAAAAAAACCACATAACTCATGGCTAGGAAGCAAGAGAGGAAAAGACTTAGGGGGTCCAAAATCCCCTTTGAAGGTCACCCCAATGGCCCAAAGACTTCCCACTGGGCCATCTCTTAAGGTTGCCACTGCCTCCCAGTAATGCCAAGCTGGGCCTCTGGGGGATAAACTCTAGTGCCATTTTGTAAAGTGCTTATCCAAGTTTATTGTTTATGTTTGTATTGAATTTCCTATTTTTATAAATTCAAAGGAGTTCTTTCTAAACTAAGAGTATAAACCTTTTCTTGGTTAGAAGTGTTTCAAATGTCTTTCCTTCATCAAGAGACAACATGAAGGCACTGGAAAGACAAGCTGTGAGATGGAAGATGTCTTATTATTATTATAAAATGTTACATTCCGTTTCATGTATAGAAACATAGTTTGCTTTTTAATATATATATCTGATACCTAGTATCAGCCTTGCTAGATTTATTCAAATAATTGATTTGTAGACTTTTGTTTTAGCTTTTTCTACCACAGTCATGTCAAGTGCAAAGAGTGACAGGTTTATTTTTCTACTCCAAACTTCAAATCTTGTGTCTTTTCCTTTCAATACAGTGTTATGTAGAAATGGTGGCAGGGATCGTGGTGGTCTTGTTCCTGCTCCTAGGGGGAAGCTTTCAATATTTTACTATTGTGAATGATGTTATATGGAGGGTTTTTATTAAAAATTCTTTATTGGTTAAGAAAGTTTTTCTTTATTCCTTTGACATTTTATGAGAGTGGAATTAAAGTCTGGAAAAGGGACAAGTTTTGAAATGTTCTTCATTAAAGAAGAATGTATAAATTATCTATATATGTTCATTGGTTCACATGCAGTATTCAATGTTTCATATTGTGTGCTTTTAAATTTTTCTTTTTAAAAAGAGGACTTCCAGAACTGAGGAGGAGCAAGTGTTTTGAAAAGGACTGCGTCTTCTTCTACAATACATTTAAAAATTCAGTGTATCTTTCAAGCATACCTATATACTTTAAATCTTACAGTGCATTATTACATGTATTAATATAAAATAAACATTAACTGTCAACTACACATTTATATGATTATATATCAATACTGATGTTATATTAATATTATGTATTAACATTAATTTCTATTTATTTTTGGACTTGGCTATAATTAGCCTTTTAACTGATCTCCGTTTATTCCTAGAGCTCCAAGCTTCCATCTGGGGTCATTTCTCTCCTCCTGAAGAAACTCCCTTTAGTATTTTCTTGACTGGCTCTGCTGGTGATAAATTTTCCTAGATATTTTTGGTCTGAAAATAGCTTGATCTCACCCTCATTCTCCAAGGTTATTTTCAATGAGCATAGAATCCTAGGTAGTAATTATTTTCTTTTAGGGCTTGGAAAATGTCATTCCATTAACCTCTGGTTTCCCTAGCTTGTGATGAAGTCAGATGTCCCTCTCTGTTGTTCCTCTGAAGGTTATCTGTCTTCTCTTCTTCTCATGCTGGGAAGTGGGTGAGGCAGAAGGGAGAGAGAAATGAGAGAGAGAGGGAGAGGGAGAGAGAGACAGTGAGACTTCTCCTGCCTTTTGTTCCATTTAGGCCTCCATAACATTGGCTAGTGCCCACCCACACTGGTATGTTAAGATTCTTTCTGTTCAGTCTATGGATCCAAATGCTCACCTGCTCATCTCTTCTAGAGACACCTGCACAGTCACATCCAAGAAAGCCAGCTAAAAGAGCATACCTTAGCCCAGTCAAGATGACACATAAAATTGTCCATCACAAGTAGTATCAGATCTTTCTTCTGACAGCACATCTCCTTCATTTTCTCCTCTCTCTGGGATGACAAGCAGACCCATGTCAGACCTTTTAACTGGATCCCTAGGATTCATGCTTCCACCTGTTCTTTTCCATTCCCATCTGACTTCTTCTGACCTACCTTCCAGTTCACTAATTCTTCCCATCTGTGTCTAAGATCAATTTGGTAATTTTTTAAATAGTTTAGTTTTTTTGCCAATTTTTTCTGTTCACCCACTTCCCTTCCCTGACCAGATTTGTCTGCATCACTAGTGGCTTTCTTCCTGTTCTCTCTCTCTCTCTCTCTCTCTCTCTCTCTCTCTCTCTCTCTCTCTTTCTCTCTCTCTCTCTCTCTCGTACCGGGGATTGAACTTGGGTCCTTGCTCTTGCAAGGCAGGCAGCGGAACCACTGAGCTACATCCCCAGCCCTGATCTATTTCTCTTGCTTTGTGACTATGTTATCTTTGTACATTTGGATCTCCCAAATTATAGAAAAACTGAAAAAATAGTAGAAAGAATTCTCCTCACACTCAATAAGCCATTTGAGAGCATGTTGCAGACACTGCTCCATCACACCCAGATGTTTTGGCGTGAATGTCATACCCTTCGCAGACATTCTCCTACTAAGCACAGCACAACCATGAAATCCTTAGGTGTACATGAGTTGGATTTATCCTATTAATGATCTTAACTTCGATTACTTCATTAAGGTGTTGTCTTGCAGGTTTCTGCACTGTAAAGTTACTCCTTTTTCTGTTCATGATTAATAAATATTTTGTGGGCCACAGTTTTGAGACTGAAAATGTACTCTTTCTCATTAAACTTTTACCCACTAGTTTTAGCATTCAGTGATGTTTCCTACCTGATTTATAACTATGAAAGGCTGTGTCATGGCAATTGTTCAGCTCCATCATTTGGTACATTTATTGGTTATCATTCTACTATAAGGAACTTTTCCTTCTGTCCGTCTTTTTATGAATTTATTTATGTGTATATGTATATAAATATACCCATGCACTTTATTTATTTGTTTATCTGTTTGCTAATCTATCTATCCACTCCTATGGGCTTAGCCACCTTTAAGAGTACTGATTAACCTAGTACTCAGTGCTGCATGAAGACATTATCATACCATTGCGGAGGTGATGAATCTGAATCCCTGCCCATAGCTGATAAAGATGCGACATGGTAAAGCACTGGGAAGTGTTTGGAAGCTGCACAGATGATTAAGTGGAGAGTTACCATAGAAACCAGCAATTTCACTCCCAGACATAGACAAAAGTGAGAGGAAAACAAACACCCGCACCAAAAATTTACATGAATGTTTATAGCATTACTGATACAGCCAAGATACAGAAGCAACATAACATCCAACGAAAGATAAATGGAAAAACAAAATGTGGTGTATCCATACAATAGAGCATTATTCAGTCATGAAAAGGAGGGTGGAATTGAAATCCGTTACAAGTTGGTTGAACCTTAAAAATATTGTGTTAAGTGAAAGAACTCAGATAAGTAAAAGTTCACATTATTACGGATTTTACTCACATAAAAGTCCAGAATGGGGAAATTAATAGATACAAGAAGTAGATCAATGATTGCTTAAACTTGAGAGGTCAGAGGATGTAGAGGATGCAAACCAAAGTTTACAGGGTTTTGTTTTTTTTGAGGCGGTGAAATATTCTAACATTAACTGTGCTAATGATTGTGCAAGTATACATGCATATTAAAACTTTTGAACTGTACAGTTTAAGTGGATCAATTGTATTGCATAGGTATTGTACATTTTTAAAATTTTTAAATAATGATATTCATTATAACTTGCTGGAAAACTTGACACAATGGAGGCTTTTGTGGAATATGAATATGACCCAACAGCACAACTTCCCAATGAAATGGCTCATTAATAGTTGCAGAGCAGAGAACCAGTTGATCCGTGCATCTTACAGATTACCTACAAACAGCTAGCTGTAAGACCTCTGCTGACTGCTGTCCTGCAGATTCTGCTCCAAACCGTAACCATACAATCCAGGAGCATGGGAACTCTGGCTGAATAATATTGGACAAAGTATGTGAGTTTTCCTAAACCCAGGTTTCCTCAACTGGAAAGGAGGCACATCAATATCTGTTATTAAGTAATAAAGTCTGGGAGTTCGAGATACAGCCTATGGCATTGGGCAGCCTCCACCTCGTGGTTGTTGTGGTTTGGAAATGGTTTGTCTCCTCTGCAGTTTGTGCGGGAATTCAATCCTCACTGACATCATGAGGTAGAAACTCCATTTGATTATCATGTTTGGAAGAGGCTTGGGGAGCTGATAAGGATAGATAAGAGCAGCCAGGTGGAGCTTCCATGACTGATTACCATGGCTGTATCAGAAGGAGGAGAGCGACCAGAGGAGACACAGACACACTCTTCCTGTCTGTGGGGAGATGCTGGCCAAAGGAGTGACTGAACCCGAATGCGCCAAGGAAGGGACCTTGGGGAACAACAGTTTCCACGATCCTGAATTGTGTGGTTAGGGTTTGGAACAGAATCTGCAAGACAGCAGTCAGCAGAGTTAAGAGTAAGTTATTGTCAGAGAGGTTTGCTTTGGCCACTGTGTCCCCTCTGCCCCGACAAGATTGTTTAAACTAGGCAACATGTGTCACATAGCAGACCACCACATTCCAGCCCTGTCCCCTGAATAAACCTCTTATATGATATGTTGCAAAATGCTTTTCTTCTGTCTTTGGTCTCATGTCCTTGAGTTACAAATAAATAACCACGGAGGTCTCTGTTGGCTGCTGTTTCTCTGAGGCTCTCTGATACCCAGAAGGTGGCCCCTCTGAGTTCTCGGTGAATGGAAACTCCTCTCAGAGTAATCTTTCTCCTCCTCTGGGCAGTCACAGTCTCGCGCTGGGACATCTGTCTCTTCTCACATGATGTCCTGCACCATTTTGGGATTCTACCAGTAAGATGCAGCCCTTCAATCTTGACCTCCAGATCTGTGAGCCAAAATAAAACTCTTTTAAAAAACATAGCCAGGCTGTGATATGGCACTAAAAATGGACTGACACAGTGGTCTTTTGCTATGAGGAGCGAAGCATCACACAACAAGCAGTTTGAGCTCAGTGTCCTGTTTTCCTAAATTTCCCTTCACTTTGGCTTCTTCTACACCACGTGGCTGTAGAGTTCTCCATTTCTTGGGAGCTGTGGGAGCTCTTATCCTGATGTGTTGAGCCTGACTTAACCTGTAGAATCAGCTGTTAACTCCTATTGGAGGACGAGTCTGAGCAAAGTCAAGGGAGCCCTTTCAGGAAACTCAATTTAGAATCTAGAGGACTAAAACAGCACCAGGGAAGGGCTTTAAAAGATGAGTAAGAGCACTGATTTGGGCCAGGGCAAATTTATTTTCTTCCTAAAGATCTCCAAATAGACTTTAAAACCTTTTCAATACTCAACATGGCATTTAAACTATCCTAGTCCAAATAACTTGCTTCTGTCCGAATCCCCTTCCCTAACCCATTTACTGATGTAAGTCTCGCTTTATTTCCTAAACCAGTTCTAATGCACTCCCTCCCTAACACAAACCCTGAAGGCTCTAGCCTTCACCTATCTCGGAATAGCAGGACCTTTCATGGTCCATGACTCACCATGTGGTATGTTTTCTACATGCAAGGCTAATCTGCTTTGTGTTTACCATAGGTAAATAGATAATGTGTTGTGTCTCCCACTCTATTCATTCCTCCCCTCTACTGCTTTCTCTGACCCCTGTGGCTAGCATAGGGTCAGGCATTAAACAGGTATTTAAGAAAGTATCCCACCACCACAGATGTGATGAGTCACTTAGTGACTTCTGTAATGTGGCTTTCACTCAACCTTTATCTCTAGAAAAGTTTCCAATACTTGAACACATCTCCACAAAGAGTAGGCCTGTATTATAAGTGGATGCAGACCCAGCTGATCATGACAGAAGGCGTGCAGCCCATGGAAAGGGGGCACCTGCTGCTCCTGCTGATTGTTGCAGGTTCAACACTGTCAAATCCAACTTATCTTGAAAATTTTGAATTCAGACTTCTTAAAATGTTGACCATGGTATTAGAGTTCTCTAGAGGAACAGACTCAATAGAAACTATACATATAATTGCATGAAGGGATGTATTAGGTGAGCTTGCAGAGGCAGAGGCAGAAGAGCCCACAATGACTGTCTGTTGGATCAGAGGTGGGAGAATCCAACATGGCCATTTGTGTGCTAGAGATCTGGAGGATGCAATAGTTGCTTGCTCAGCCTACGAAGATGGAAGCCATAGTGCAGGAGCATCAAGGATGCAGCATCAATCCAAGGTCAAGGCCTGAAAGGTCACTAGAAACCATTGTCCAAAGGCAAAAGCAGCAAAGGATGTGCCCCTCGAGACTGGTGCTCTTTAAATAGGTACATTTCCTTCTGCTTTCCTTTTGTTCATCCACCCAGGCTACCTATTAGGCTACTGGTTGGTGCCACCCACATGACATTTAAACAGGATAAGTCTTCTTTTGGTTTGCTGGCCCATGTGACAGTCATCCCCAGACACACCCAGAACTGTATTTACTAATCTGCTAAGCATTTCTTACTCTAGTCAAGTTGACATATTACAATTAATAGTCACAGCCACTAACTTTAGAACATTAACATGGATAGCATAGGCTGAGGGAATCTAGAACACAGAGCTCACGAATAGGTTCCGGTCTGCAGAAACTGAATAGATAATAATAATATTGCTACAGTGGGGAAAGGATGGGTATGGTTCCTCTGCCAATTTGGGCTGCAGTAATAGAGTGCCATAGGCTGCTTGGCTTAAGCAAAAGCAAAGAACTTGTCATGGTTCTGGAAGTCTGAGAAGTCTGAGGTGTCACCAGGGCCTGGCTCTGCTGAGAGCATCTCTTTCCCAGATGTAGGCTGCCAGTTTCTTGTTATGTCTTCATGTGATAGAGGACAGCAGGAGAGATTTCTGGCATCCCTGTGGGAAAAACACTGATCCCACTTATTAGGTCTCTACCATCAAGACCCCATCTCCTAATAGCATCATGGTGGAAGGTTAGGACTGCAATATAAAAAGTGTTTACAGAGAGGGTGCTAAACCACTCAGTCTATAACGCAGAGCAAAGAAAGTTTTGGGAAAACTAGTTCACAATATTGAGGGGCTAAAAGCTGTCTGCTACATAGATAAACATATCTGTATAAAAGGTAAAACTATAAAGGAGTCTGACTGTGATCTAGGAGTAGGGAACGATCATTTAAGCAAGACCCTCAAATCAGTCTAGAAGTCAAAAGTACAACAGATCTGACCACGCTGATATTAAATGTTTCTAGTCAAGAAAATACACCATAGATGAACAAAGTTATCAGTCAGATGACTACCTAGGAGGAGACACTGGCGAAATCCACATGAGTAAGTAGCTAATATCTAGTAAAGTCAAGGAACTCCTACAAATCCATATGCCTGGAAACAGGAAAATGACTGGGAAAATGGGACCAGATTATGAACAGGAACTCTCCCAAGAAGGTCAGCTTCCCCCCCCCCCC